TAGTCACTGTAAATCATAGCGCGAAAATTTTCATAAAAAATCATTTGAACAAATAAGCGTTCCATATTTAAAGTTATCACTAAATATCCAGTCTTTAGGGTGATGTTCAACTTGCCAATGTCAAACATTTGACAAAAAGGTACCAATAAAAACACCAAAATATTTGGAACTATTTCAAACAAACCCTTGGTTGACCAAGTAAGAAAAATATACAATAAATCACCATTTCCTGGGGCTATGCTCCTTGATTTTGCACCGTAATAAATTGTGCTGATTGCTTGCTTGAACTACCGGTACGTTAATTGGGACTGCCGGTAAAAGGACTCAACAAAGTATGATGTATATGCTATATTAGTAATAAACTTCATATTTCTTTATCTTTTTTTATATATTTGGTAATTAAATATGCAGAAAGCGCTTCCAAGTCTCCCAAAAAGAATCAAGTTATTTTCTTGAGTGGATTTTTTTTAACTTATGCTATGTAGTTTTAGACTTATCCAAAGTAAGACAACACTCAGTAAAAACAGCGTGAAGTAGTGACGAGAATCAGAAACCCTTTTTGTTAGTAACGTGACATTTCATTTTTGTATTTAGGGGTGAAAACTCTGCCCTTTCATCTTTTGCACAGTCTGTACTTCTACGCCTGGTGTTACTTCTTTAAAAAGCCGAGAAGTAGAAAGAATGCATAAAAATAATGATAGTATTAAGTCGGTGTTAACGTGTTTCCATAGCTATCTATCAGATGAGCGTCTCACCCGCTTCATCATAATTTATGTGGCTTATATATATTTCTCTTTCTTCACCAGCTCGTATAGGTCCACATTTGGACATGGAGCGCTCTGGTTGTAAGGAAGATTCGCCTTAATAGTCACACTTCACTTTAAAAAACGTGGTAGAGCCATGTTGCAGCTATATTAGTAGTGTAGTTGTAGCAAGAATGAGTCGGCTCGACCGAGCAAGGACCACGCTCTCTCAGAATACCAGCGTAAAATAGCAGCTCAATGCTACTGTGTTTTTTATGGTGAATGTAGAGAACCGAAGGCCCTTGTTACTGGTGTGGCCTTAGGAAGGAAAAGAGGAGATCTCCCACCGGGCAATGTGTTCTGCCCGGGGAGCGGCCAAAGCTCCGAGTGGTAGTTCAGAGCATTTCTATACATACTGATTTAACTTTGGAACTTTGTTAGCGCCATTTAGGCTTCGATGTGTTTTGCTTGTGGCGCGATGGCAGCGCTGCCACATCAACCTCCTGCTCAGACCGGAGATCGATAGTGTAGTCCGAACGCCGGTGCGTCCTTAATGTCGGTGGGGAATGCATGCTGTGTCTGTAAGGGCAAGTGCCGCCGGTGCGAACGATATGCCGGTGTGTAATGCACGCCATACTACGCATTTGCAAGTGATGCCGGTTAGAACGAACAGAAAGCGTTATTATTCCAGTGCTGCGTTGAACCTTTGTAAAGCTAGATGGCTTGCAGAATGTGAAGACTGCAGACAATATCTGCTCGGGAGTGAATGAATGGGGTACTTGAGGACGATTTCGGAAGCTTGAATTTGTAGTTTTCTGAAGGTTGTTGGTTGCGTATTCATATCACGTCGTTTGGTCACCAACTGTGGCCAGTGGAAGGAAAAGGGGAGATCTCCCGCCGGGCAAGATGTTCTGCCCGGAGAGCGGCCAACGCTCCGAGTGGTAGTTCGGAACTATTCTATATATACTGCTTTAACTTCGGAACTTTGTTAGCGCGAATCAGGCTTCGTTGTGTTTCGCTTGTGGCGCGACGATAGCGCTGCCACTTTGGAAACGAAACATACCATGTTAGTTCTCAGTAACAACGCATCTGAATTTTTATACTTAATCAGTGATAGATGTAGATGTCTATGGGCCACACCATCCATTTATCATCAGGTGGAATATGTGCTCGTTTGTCGTACTTATTCTATAAAAAAACTTGATTAATGATGATAGCAGTACCACACAGCTCGAATATTTTAACTTTGACGCTTTGACTCGTTGACGCTGAGATATGCTATAAAAATCTCATTTCTATCAATAGATAGCAGTACAACTCTCATTACCGATAACGTATATTTTTAAAATGTGTTACTAAATACTACATGATTTTTTATAAATCTGAGGTTTCTATTTCGACTGTATGTTCCTTTTTTAAAAATGTGGATTAAATAAAGAACCTTCAATCGAATTCAGATAATAGTTTTCATTCAAACGAATTAAAAAAAAAAATCGTTATTTTTTAAAAATTGGATTTATAAAAGAAAGCTAATCGTTGCGTACTCCTCCTTTTTGAACTCGGCCAAAAATATGAGCCGCTATTGCTACTTATTACGTTCATGGCAAAATAAACAACTTTCCCGCTGAAATATACCAAGATAAACGGCGGGCACAAAATTAAACAGACAACGGAAAATGAAGACGAGCAGTCAATATGTATTCCCTCACGAACAACAGATCCGACGATATTGCGCCTTGAATAATGTAAACGAACAATACCATCGATAGAGGAAAATGAATGGTAAAGTAAATTGGGTGAAAATTATGTTTATCTTAAATACATATATTTTTTTTTTTTTTTTTTTATAGAATAGGGGGCAAACGAGCATGCGGCTCACCTGATGTTAAGTGACTACCGCCGCCCATGAACAACCGCAACACCAGGGGAATTGCAGATGCGTTGCCGGCCTTTTAGAAAGGTGTAAGCTCTTTTCTTGAAGGTTCCTAAGTCGTATCGGTTCGGAAAATTCGCTGGTGGTAATTGATTCCACAAAGAAGTTGTGCGAGGGAGAAAACTTCTTCTAAATCGCACAGTGGTGGACCGCCAATCATCCAGATGGTATGGATGGTAACGCGAGTTTTGTCGCGACGTGCGATGGTGAAATTGAGCGGCTGGAATTAGTCCGAACAATTCCTCAGAGCACTCCCCGTGATAGATGCGATAAAATACGCAAAGAGATGCAACATCTCTACGCAGTGCCAGTGTATCGAGCCGATCGGAAAGAACTCGGTCGTCGACGATTCGAATCGCTCTGCGCTGGATGCGGTCAAGTGGAAGGAGCTGGCACTGGGGTGCCCCGGCCCAGAGATGAGAACAGTATTCCATGTGGGGCCGAACTTGCGCTTTGTAAAGTTGCAAGCGATGTGCCGGCATGAAATACTGTCTCGCTCTGCTGAGCACGCCAAGCTTTTTAGAGGCCAATTTGGCCTTCCCTTCCAAGTGACCACGAAACTGCACGCTATTCGATATGTCGACGCCAAGGATTCCGATACTGGCTGAGGCAGCAAGGGGAGTGCCTTGAAACTGATGAGATACGACAAAGGGGTTCTTTTTAGCGGTAAACGCGCAAACTTGTGTCTTCTGGGGATTGAACTGGACTAGATTTAGTCGGCCCCAATCCGAGACTTTGTTAAGCAAAGACTCGACTTCAGACACAAGTTTGTCCCGGTACTCGGCGACGTTTTCCCGAGAAATATTGGCACGGCCGGTATATAAGGCATCCCCAGTGCTGTCGTCTGCATAGCAATGAATGCTACCAGTTAGCAACATATCATTGATATGCAGGAGAAACAGCGTTGGTGATAGCACGCAGCCTTGTGGAACACCAGCGTTGATAGGCTTGTAATCAGAGCATGCACCGTCTACTACGACCTTGATGCTCCGATCAGCAAGGAAACTGGTGATCCATTTGCACAATTTCTCGGGAAGCCCATAGGAAGGAAGCTTCGAAAGAAGCGCCTTGTGCCAGACCCGATCGAAGGCCTTCGCTATGTCCAAACTAACGGCCAATGCCTCCCCCTTGGACTCTACTGCCTCCGCCCATCTATGAGTTAAGTAAACTAAAAGATCACCTGCTGATCGACCCCGACGAAAACCGTACTGACGGTCACTGATCAGCTGGTGATCCTCAAGGTACCTCATGAGCTGGCAGTTTATAATGGATTCCATTATTTTGGAGAACAAGGAGGTGATGGCGATAGGCCTGTAGTTGGACGGGTCTGAGCGGTCGCCTTTTTTAGGGATCGGGTGGACCAAAGCTGTCTTCCATGAATTCGGGACTACGCCTTGGGAGTAGGAGTACCGGAAAAGACGCGTTAAAACCGGTGCCAACTCCGGAGCACACGTCTTCAGCACAATGGGAGGGACTCCATCGGGCCCACTCGACTTGCTGACGTCCAGGGAGAAGAGTGCTTTGCGAACCGAGCGCTGTGTAAATCGCACATCCGGCATGGAGCACTCACATCGCGGGATGGTCGGCGGTGTGTTCCCCCCGTCATCTAGAGTCGAGTTGGACGCAAAAAGAGAGCACAACAGATCGGCTTTCTCTTTTGCGGCATGGGCCAGTGAGTCGTCCTCTCTGTGCAGAGATGGGAGGGATGGCTGACAGAAGTTCCCTTGGACAGCCTTGGCGAGAGACCAGAATGCACGGGTTCCCGAAGGAAGGCGAACTAGCTTCTCGCCAATTCTGCCGATGTGCTCAGACCTTGCCTTGGCAATGACGCTTTTGAAGGACCTGGAGGCGGAATTATACTTCTTTTTAAGTGCGCTGGTGTTTAAATCCCGAGACGTTGATGCGTCAGCCCAGGCCCGGTAGCACTCCTGCTTATAGCGTGATGCTATTTTACAGGAGCGACCAAACCATGGCTGGGATCTGCCTCCGATGGGCACCACAGAGGATGGAATAAAAAGTTCCATACCCTGAAGTACCACATCAGCAACAGAATCGGCAACAACGCTGGGATCTTCCGGCGAGAAGCAAACCCGCCCCCAAGGGTAGGATGCAAAAAAAGACCGCATCCCGTCCCAATCAGCTGACCTATAGTGCCAAACACGGCGGCAAGCTGTAGATCGCAACTGCGATTGGAGCGTGAGTGGCACTGTGCTCCGGATCAGACAATGGTCCGAAGAGCCCAGAGGGGCATCGACGGAGACCTGATATCCGTCCGGATGAGAGGTCAGCAGAAGGTCCAACAGGGAAGGTACATGGTCTTCCACATCTGGGATCCGCGTAGGCGAAGCAACCAGTTGTGTTAGACCATATGCCAAAGCAAAGTCGTAGACAGATCTACCCGCATGATCGGTTGAACGAGAACCAAGCCATTCAGCGTGGTGGGCGTTGAAATCACCGAGTATCACGATCTCTGCGGATGGGACCTGTTGTAGCACGGAGTCTGCAGCCATTTGGACGTGGTCGATGAGTCGGTCTGTGTCGGCATTACCGCTATGGGACCTATAGAGGCACCCGTAGACGCGGGGATGGTCGTCGCTGTCTACGCGCAGCCATAGGATGGACAGGTCCGTACCTTCAAGGCTGCCGAGGCGTCGAAAACAGATGTCCTCTCTGACGTATACACAAACTCCAGCCCGGGGCACAAAGGAGTGTTCCAATTTGTACCCCGGGTAGGAGAGATATGAAGTATCAGCCGGAGAGGACACCTGAGTCTCGGTTAAAAAGAGCAAGGCCGGCTTCGCCGTCTCTAGATGGTAATGGACAGCGTTAAGGTTGGAATGAAGTCCCCTGATGTTGCAAAAATTCACGGATAGCGTGACAGGGGTCGCCTTGGTTGTATTGCTCCGCTTGCCCCGAGCAGCATTAGTCACGAGCGGAATTTTGCCCCCCCCAGAATACGCGGGGCAGCCTGAGCACCCACGCTCAGGAGTGAAGTAGTTTGTTCGTGGATGCTCAGCGAGGGATTCTCCAGGGTTGCTGGTACCCTCCTGGGGTAGTCTTGTATTTAATTCCACTACCATGTTGATGGGGGGGGGGGGGGGGGAATTGGGCCTCCGGCCACCTGCACTCACCAAACGCAACGCAGAGGTAAACCTCTACTTCACGCTGGTATTCTGTGAGGTCGTGGTACCACCCCGGTTCGAGCTGGCCCATCCGTGCGACAGCAAAAGCTACCGCTTGGCTCTACCACTTTCAAAAAATATATGGTTTCCGACAGAAAACTTCGATTCCGACATCGGGACGTGATATATGCTTCTTTTATTTCTACTTAGTTTAGATATATTTACAATATTTATATTTCATCTTTAGCAACAAAATATCGAAATGATTGCCTTTTGTTCAGCTGAGGGTTACTTGTATGTCCATAAAACATTAATAACATTTAAAAAAAATCTCTTTCTGCCGGTCTGTCTGTCCAGGTTAATCTATGTATTTGGATTTTAATGAAATTTAAGAAATGATAGAGAATAACGCTAAGGGTGATCTAGGTTATATTTTATTCGAAAAATCGGAGAATTTACTTGAAAAAAAAAAACCGGCCAAGTGCGAGTCGGACTCGCGCACCGAGGGTTCCGAACAAATCCGTAGGTATATAAGTATAAAATTATTAAAAATATTTTTATTATATGATGTAACTAAAAATTTATGCTTTTCACAATTTTTCCTTTATCTGTGCTATAATACGTTGCTTCGTACCAAATTTTAAGATTCTGAGTTCACCGGAAGTACCCTGTAGGTTTTGATTCCCTTGCGAATGTCGAAAATTTGCGGCATAAAGGGCTGTATCTTTTGATTGCGTTGGCTTAGAAGTTTGATTTTTTCACAGCTCCAAGTCTCAAGTCTACTGTCCAGTAGACATGAGTATTTGATATGAATTTCAGCTTGATATCTCCACGCGTTCCTGAGAACAAGGGTCTTGACAGACAGACAGACGAACAACAAAGTGATCCTATAAGGGTTCCGTTTTTTCCTTTTTGAGGTACGGTACCCTAAAAAAAGACAAAACAAATGGACTATATTAATAAATTCTACACAGGCAAAACTAGGTGGGATTGCCGAGATAAAATAATATAAAATCTAATCAAATTTGTTATTTTAATGGAACTGCATTATGAATGTAAAAACGTCGTTCTTGTAATACTTGCATAAAGTTTCCCCTTTTCTAATGATGATAACTTATCACAAAAACATTGCATGCCGTAATACACTAATACTTGGAAAGAGTTGTTACGTTTTGTGATAATAAAACCGAGTTACGTACCAGGTGGTACCAGGAGACTAAGTTAAGTCTTTTTATTATTACTTATAATGAAAGCTTTATGATAACGCAAACCTCAAATTTTAATTTTCACGTCAACTTACAGTAAGTTTAATGCAAATTTCTTGAAATCAATACAGTAAGTAATATTGGAATTTATTATATGGAGAATCTCAGGACACAAGCAGTCTTCAAAAATATATCTCGTATGAACAGACAGTTCGATCCTGCCCGTTAGCGCTACCGTTACAGCCTATTAAAGGCCACTGCTGAACATAGAACTTTCTTATAGCTACAGGGGGGCAATATTTGCCAAAGTTGTCACGCTTGGCAAGCAGGTTGGCAATCACAGTTTTATTTATTTTTAGTCGTTATTAGAAAGACGCTGCTGTCCATCCCCTGATTTGTTTCCCTCTGTCGCCTCTTACGACACCCACGGGATGATATGGGGTGCGGATTTTCTTACACCGCCGATACACGGATCCTGCCCGTACCGAATAAATTATTTGCAAATTGTAGGTAATCAATACAGTTTAAGGTGCTGTCTTAATTCACGTTGACCCGTTAAGAAAAGTTGTGAGGACTTACAGCGTATATACGTAGTGATGCGGTCTTGTCAGTTTTACGTGTTTTTTTAAGTTAATTTTTAACTGAGCTCCAAAAACAAGAAGGTTCTATATTGGTCGTATTGTAAGTTTTATGTATGTTCACCAATTTCTCGTAAACGGCTGAACCAAATTTATTGATTCATTTATATAATAAATTGATTGCACTTCAGGGGTTGTCTCATATAAATTTTAAGTATGAATTCATCCCTAATGGTGGAAAAATAGGGGAAGAAGGTTTTAATGTAACAATTTAGACGGTATCCTAGTTGTCATTTACATAATTATGCCATTTGCTGTAGAGACTTGGTCCGTGGGCTCCACGTGTGGTGAAATTCCTAAAGGAATTGTATCCGCGACTGGTCGTCGCTGGTGGTGATAAGAAGGCTGGTTCTTTTCTTACTCTAAATACTAAATATAGCCATTCAGCGAGAAAACGCAGCCAGCGTTCTTGGTCGATACCACAGGGAGCAGGACTGTATAATTCAAAAAATTGGGTTTTGTTTTTCTTTATTATCTACAGGTTTTTTAACATTGTGTGTAAAATTTTAGTTAGATTTAATTTATTCTAATTATTACCTTGAACTGGTGAAATTCCTTAATTCAATGAAAACTGAATTCAGTAACAATAAAGAAACAATATTTTAACATAATATCTGAAGGCGCGGTTTTAATTCTTCGAAGCGCCTAAAATCAGAAGCTATTAAGAGAAAATATTTTTTGTTTTTAAAGTCGGTTTTACATTTTTAAAAGTTTAGTACTTTGTGTTTTGTTTGTATTTTGTTGAATAATTCTTTTTTGTATAAATGTGTTGAATATTTTTGATATTTTTCTCAGACATGCAAGTTTCATCAGGATGTTTTCTTTCACTTCTAAGCACATATTTTTTTTAGTATAGGGTGACAAACAAAAACAAAAAAGTCCACCTGATGAGGAATGGTTGCTGTGACCCATAGACATCTACATCTATCCTCAATAAAGAACCAACATGCAGATGCGTTGTCACCCGTGAGGACTAAGATGTAATGTCTCCTTTCCAGTAAAAAAGGTCTCCGGTTCTCTACACACACCATACGAAACACAGCTGTGTTAAGCTTAAGCTGCTATTTTACGCTGGTATTCTTTGAAAGCGTGGTCCTTCCCCACCGACCCATTCGTACTACAACCATAATATATCTACAGCGTGTCTCTACCACATAACAAATAAACTCCTTATGAGGTAATCTATAGGTGGACTATGTTTGACATTGAATTTTGAAAGACCTAATAAATGAATACCAACCAACGAAAAGTAGCCATTGCGTTATATATTCTGTGGCAATAGTGTCAACAATGATATTAAAAAAAGAAAAATATTTTAGAGAAATACACAACAAACACAAAAACAAAAAATGTGGTTTTTTTTTATAGAAGAGGGAGCAAACAAGCATGCGCGTCACCTGATGGTAAGTGACGACCGCTGCCCATGAACAACCGCAACACCAGGGGAATTGCAGATGCGTTGCCGGACTATTAGAAAGGTGTAAGCTCTTTTCTTGATGGTCCTGAAGCCGTATCGGTCCTGAAAAATCGCCAGTGGTAAACAATTCCACAGAGAAGTTGTACAAGGAAGAAAACTCCTAGTAAAACTCACAGTCGTGGACCGCCAAGCATCCAGATAGTGAGGATGGTATCGTGAATTTTGACGTGATGTGCGTTCGTGAAATTTGGCGGCTAGAATTAATATAAGTTTTGTTATATAAAGGAGCCGTGATAACTCACCGGCTAAGCACTCGCTATAAATTTCACAGTACTTGAGAAACTCGGGTTCGAAACCCTTCGGCACCAATGAAATTGTTAATTGCAATTATAAGCGCTGATTTATCACGTGCTCGGCGGTGAAGGAAAACATCGTGAGTAAACTTGAATGGCTGAGAAATAAGAAAGAAAAAAATTCGAAGGCATGTGAAGTTCGCCAACGCCATTGGGGCAGCGCGGACTTTTCCTAGACCTAAACCGCTCTCAAATATGAGAGGAGGACTGTGCCGAGCAGTGGAATGTAAGCACATCAACAGAATCTAGGATTATTCTATATTTTATTAAATATTAAAAAAATTCTATGAAGAACTTTCTGATATAGTAAATGGAAGAATGATAGGTTAATAGAAAAATATATAGAATTTTTTGTTTCCGTAGAAAGAAGGTATGATAAAAAAAATCATTTCTTCTTATAAAATTATTAATTTTAATTAAAATTGAAAAACCTTATAAAATCTAATTATTAATAATCAGTGTTGCCACCTCTTACATTACTTTCACATCGACTTCATTTGTTCATACTTAAAACTAAATTGTCAATATGTTGCTGCTGTATAAGGTACCATGTTCTTTGCAATTATTCGTAAAGTTGTTGTTTCGTCGTCAAATTTGGTGAAAAATCTCTCAAAGCATCTCGTTGTAACATGTCCCAGGAATGCATAATAGGATCTGAATCCAGCAACTGTTCAGGTTAATCCAAAACTTGAATATCGTGGTCTCGGAGAGCGGCCGACACCAGCCGCCCCGTATGGAAAGGAGCATTATCGTGCATGAGTAGAAATTCCTGCCC